TAGACCCATGTTATGCAGTGCTTTAAATGTGATAACACCATGTATTGCACCCAGAAGCAAACTGGTAGCCAGTTCAGCTCATGGAGTAATGGTGTAACATGGGCCATCCTAGGGGCCCCAAGAACTGCCTGTGCCCCTGCACTCTGCCCCAGTTGATGATTCCGAATGCTCTTCAAGGATAGACCCCATGAGGAGGGCATTATAGTAGTCCAAATGTGAGAAGACCAGGGTTTGAATGACTGAGCACAGGGACTTTTTTTTATTCTCCCATTGGCCCTCATTTTGAATTATTATTATTTTTTACACTGACTATAGCTACATCAAAATAATTAGATTTCTTTGTTAATTTTTAATCCCTTGACAACACTATCTAAATTATGTAGGCATAACAGTAGGGATCTCCCATAGTACAAACATTCCAATTCATTTTAAGACTAGTTACTTACCAGATACCCTCTAGTTGCTTACCTGTATACAAAAGAAGAAGAAAGCAATAAGTATCAGCATCTTCATATAACTTAGTAAATTAGTTTCTCTTAGAAAGAGCTCAGAAGGTCAGACTTAACTACCACATTTTCTTAAAAACTGTGAAAACACATTTTTTCTTTTTCTTGATGATTTTTAAAGTATGGCAGGCTGATAAAGGATATGTGATGTAATATGTAAAGTTAATTCATAATATCTATATGAATAACGTTAAGATAATTCAGAATTTTTCTCTTAGATTGAATAAAACATATTGAATTACTTTTTATTTAAATCTGACCTAATATGTTAGAAATGATGCATCATCAGTGCAACATATTGTATCAAGTGAATATTGTTCCTGTGCTAAAGTCTCAGTATACTATGAACATTTCAATATTACCTCTACACAACTGGAAGCAGATTTAATTGAATATATTGGTATTTGCTTTTGATGAATCATATATGAGATTTGATTTTACAGATTCTTCATAAATCTAAGCAGTATTTGAATTTTCTGTTTAGTTGCTTTTAAGGGGGATGATGATTTTTAAAACTCTACACTCTCCCCTTTCATCTCCATTTGGAAATTAAAGTGCTTAGGATAAATTTTCTAAAGCATGCCCAATAAAAGCAAAACCTAGCTTTAACTAGTACTGTGGAGTCCTTAGTGCACTCTGAGCTTGGATGTTTTCTTGCAGATATTTCATTACCAAACTAGGTAATATCAACAGTGCTAGTAGGGAATGGGGTTTTCTCTCATTTTATATACTACTGGCTTGCCCTATTTGTATTGGTGGGAATGGTCTTGGTGGTTCCTTGATTAGACTGTTGTTTATTAGCTTGTCTGGCAGTTCTTTGATTGGGGTATCATTTGTTTTTTGATTCTTAGCCTAAAGTTAATCTTAGTATTAATCTCTGCCCATCTGAATGCTGATTGCTGGTGAGGAGATGTTTTGGTCTTTTTGTTACCTTTTTGGCTTTTTGATTGTCTCTTTTGAATGGTATGCAGATGTTGTTTATATCTATCTGTATGCTGGTGGCGTATTTGTCTGAATGTCAAGCTTCTAGGAATTCTCTAGCATTTTTGGCTTGGTTTGGGATTCCCAGTTGAAACTATGGTTAAGCCTGTTCATCTGTTGTAAAATTAAGCAGTTTTTATCATGTCTTCTGACTATTGTTAATTAATACAGAGTTCCATGTGGGAGGTACTTGCAATTCTGTTGAAACTCAAATGAGTTACTTATGATTACACTTTTCTTCATCACAATGACAGTGCAAGTTCAAAAATGAAAGTAAGAAAATGAATATTAAAAATTATGAAATGCTTTAATTTTTATGTCTTGCTCTTTACTCAAAGTATTAAAAGTAGTAAGCAGCACACAATACATCAATTGAACCTTGCTTTCAAAAACAAATACAGCACTTTGATAAATGGTAAATGATTCTGTAGCATTTGAAAGAAAAATTATCCTTTTTGGACTTGTGGAATCCCTCAACTGCTAAACATTTACATTGCAAATACACATCTATATGTTGAGGATACATAAAACTCAACATGAATAAGTTCAGTGCTGCTTTGCAGATATAGGGAATGGATATATATTATGGATTAAAATAATCTTCCATAAATAGTGTGGGAATAGTAATAAGGTAATTTAGTTTGCTTCTTCTCAGTTTCATGATTTTATTACGACAGTGAAATAAAATCATGATCATATAAAAATCATATGCTGCTTTTACTTATCAGAAATTAATTTTAAGAATTAAAGTTCTACTATGCTACAGCAAAAACAAAGTTACTGATTATAGGCCAATAGTTAAAGTAACTAATTTGATTAAATCTTATGTATTTAAAATACATATATGAAATTTAATGATTTAACCCTTCAAGAATTATCATTTTGTTGCAGTAAACAAAGTTGTACATTCCCATTATGTCATGAACTATTACTATACAGTTGGGACCACATACTCCCAGAAGGGCACTTGTAACAGTCGGTAAATCCACAGTGATCAGATTAAGCACAATCCACAGGAGAAAGAAATGACAATTCACTCCACTATTCTACCAAGAAAACAAAGTGAAATTCATAGCTATCGGTAGGACAATAACAGTAGAGGACAATTATGTGTAGCACTGATGATAATCATGTGACTAGACTAAGGCTGATAGAATGTTCAGCTGCTTGTATGCCCAGAGACAAAAGACAAGTTTGATCCTGCAAAGATACATTTGTGTGTGTGTGTGTGTATGTGAGTACACACACATATACACACAAAACAAGTTGATACAAAAAATGTTAGAATCATGAACCAAAGCAACTGGATGTTATCAGAGCAGAAGTATCAAGTCTATACACAAACATTTTGGGATTTAGAAAACTGTAAAGTTGGAATAAGTCACTGCACATTAAAAAACACCAGATATTCTACAGTGAACAAGAACATTGAACAAGAAATGAAGCAGTTATAATTACTAGCAAAAAAGTGTTAAACCCAGTGCAAACCAAATTCAATATACAACTCAAAAAATGACTGGAGGATTTTAGTTCCAATTAAGAAGTTCACTATTAAGGTGACCCGTACATCCCACAGGTGAAGAGGAGGTTGATAATGAATAGTTGTATCCTGACATGCAATAACTTGTCAATACAACAAAAAAGATGTGATCTCTTCAAAGACTACTGGAATACTAAAGCCTAGTCATGAGGGATATTAGGCCTTGGTATTTAAAATGAGGCACATGACAGACTAACAGAATTCTACCCTGATAATTAGATGTTTGCAAGAAATACAATACTTTTTTTAACCAATCTAAACAACTTGTACAACAATCTAACAACTGAATGTTACCAGATGGAATAAAACTGACCACATATTTTGCAAGTACAGATGAAGAAGTTCTGTTCAGCCAGTAAAAAGAAGACATGATTCTGACTGTGGCTCAGATCATGAACTTCCAACTTCAACTAAGAAAGGAAAAAAAACTGATCAAGGCAAGAAGTTGAATCTCAGCAATATACCATTGGAGTGGGCTGTAATGGTCAAAGAAGAGATTCACATGAGAGTCTGTGTATTTACAGACTAAGGTGTTGAATTAAAAACAGAGGTACCCAGGTTTTAGTATTGAGGCACACTGAGTGACTTTAGGCCACTCATTTTCCCTTAGCCCAATTTATCTCACAAGGTTGTTATAGAGAAAGGAGTTGATGAAATAAGTAGCTTGATTGATTCATAATGAGCGCAAATGTTAATTTTTTTATCTGCTTTATATTGGATGTTTTATTTATTGTTATTTATTGTGAGTCCCCTTTGGGAGGAGATGGGCAGCTATATAAATTTGATGAATAAAATAATAAATCACAAGCGGCCTACTCAATTGTCACTTTCAATGGTTTAGGGATATCCTATTACAATAGTGACTAATCAATTTATCTGGAGGAAATTTTTTTTTGTTGCCTCTGTAACTCACCTATAAAATTGAAAGTGTTCCTTTTTATAGGTTCCATTATCACCCCACCTCACCCCAAAGATGCCTTGTGTCTTTGGCTTTTTGAATTCCCATCTAACCACCTTAAGCACCTTAAACGACCCTGGGAAACAGCTGGTTTCAAGCGTCGACCTTAGCATTTCCTCCTCTCCCTTTGTGTCGGCGGAAAAAGTTGTGACTAAGCTAGGCAGAGGCATCGGGGCTGTTAAAGTCGCCCCTTAGTATATGGTACATAGCCGGCGCAGGGAAGAGGCGGGGCAGGATAAAGACCCGCGCATCACCTGGTTCGGGCGGGTGAAGGGAAGAGAAATACAACCCCGCATCTTCTCACCGTTTCCCTCTAGGTCCTAGGAGTCTGGAGAGAGGCTGAAGAGCTCCTTGGCTCCCGCAGACCTGCATAACGGGAGCAGGCGCTTCTTCCCCCGCACTGACCGGACAGCCATCCCCGTCCGCTTTCCTCCTCAACCTATCACACAGATTGAGGAGGAGGCGGGTTTCCCTGTCTTGCTCGCCGCTCTTACCGAGCATGATAGGACTGAGGCGGCGAGCCATGCCCTTGGACAGGTCGTACACGTAGAGCTTCACCGAGTGCAGCATCGGAGGCGAGTCCATGGCATTGGCCGAGGAAACAGGAAGGGGAGCTTGCAGGGGGGGGAAACGACAACCTTCCAGACCAATTCGCCCTTCTCTGGCGAGGCCGCTGGAGAAGAGAGAAGCCGGAGGGGAGCGCAGCTGGCCTAGTCAGTGCGGCTCCCGGCAGCGACCGCTATTGCGAGGACTAACCGACTGACAGGAGGTGACTGAAAAGGGGCGGAGGGAGGGCGCCGAGGGGAAGGCTCGTTTCACGCACGCGTCGCCCCATAAGGTGAGATAAAGCGCTTGTCACTGGGCCTCTTGTGAGGGAGCGGCGCTGAACAGTAGAAAGGCGGGACCAAAGAGTTTACGCAATTGTTCCATGTGGACGGCATCATTGAGGACAATGCGAGCCTGTCTTTGTCGCCTGCCATTGGTTAGAACGTACGGAAGGGGTGGGACATCGAGATGTTAACGGGGAATAACAATTTAGGAATGGGTGGGTGGCGTTTGTGAGGCGAGTTCGGTTTTTCACCGGGGTTAGTGCGCGGTCGAAGGCTTCAGAATGAAACCCCTGTCAGGCCCTTTCAATAGAAATAGTGACGCGTTCTGTTTGCTAAGTGAGTTTTAGGCCTTGAATCCTCTTGCCCGCTAAAATCTGCCTGTGTTAAAACGGGTAAAATCCCTTCAAGTCGAATTCGACTCTTGGTATCTTTATAGGCTCCGGGATGCATCGATAATATTGGGAAAAAGAAATGGGTGTTTGCTGCCAAGAACTTCCAAGCTCTCCTTCCGGTTTTCCAGTCAATTCCGTTATTAGGATTTCCTGGCCGTCTACTTCCCATGTACTAATTAAGCGTGACCTTATTTGGCTTTTCAGTTTAGGCGGGCTAGGTACTATCTTTTGAAGCAGTAAATGGGGAAAAAAAGCTGGGTGTGTTATTCTCCCAATTTCTCAGTAAAGATTGGCACCAAGGATAATGTATGCTCTTAATCAATATATCCTCAAGAAAAAAATGTGCGGAGTTTTTAAATTCTCCGAACTTAAATACAAGCAGTTTTCACCCTTAAACCGTCCATCTGAGATACTTTTCAGATTGCGGGGGGGGGGGGGGAAGAAGGCTACTCTCACATCATCTCCCCTCATCGACTTCCTTGAAGACGTCTGGGGCTTCTTTGATTTCTCTGCAATCGCGCCGAGACTAAAAAAAATAATTGCATTGCTTTACTAGTAAATTACAGCAAGTAAGGATGCGGCTTAAACAACGGAATTGCCTCTACAATCCAGGCAATCGGGATTTCGGACGTCTCCGCGATTCTTCGTTTGATACCTGTGGCTAATCGGAGTGCAAGATTTACTGCACTGAGGCATTGGGAACTTGTTTGTATACGGCCGTTTCTGCTTTTCCTTTCGCCGCTTTAATTATCTTTTTTCCCCATCAAGGGGCGGAGACTCGTTGTGACTGACAGGTTCCCATTCTTGAATCCATCGGGGGAGAAAAGAGAATAAATAACACGGAAGGTTGGGGACTTTCTGCAAAAGGCCCGTTTGTACGCCGTCTTTTTATCGGCGGTAAGTTCGAATCGGGAGTGGGGGTGGGGTGGGGGTTCGTGGGACCACAGTAAAGATATTCCGTCGACAGGTTCTGCCCGCCTCGGCAGCAAACGAGGCAGGGCCTGAAACGAGGGAAGAGGAGCTGTAAATAGTTGGGGCTCCCGCTGTTTCTGTTTATTCCTTGATGCGGTGTTGTAATAGCGGTTTATGGTTTGAAAATATATTAAGGCAAAGCAATGCTACCAACATTGAAGTGAGTAAGTAATATAATAAAGGCCGACCCTTTCACGCAGAGAAGAAGAGTTTTCGAGAGCAGCGCATGGCTGCGCTCGTCCCCCCCCCTTCTGTTTTCAGACACACTGAGGGCGTTTGGAAGATCGAGTTAATCTGTCCCATGTGGCCCTTCTTCAAAAAGAGAAATTTGGGGAGTTGAAGGATGGCAGCAGGGCATCAGGCGCTTCTGGAAGTTACGTTTTTGTGCACAGTTTATTAAGTGGATGGACATTGAATTCAAATTTTTCTCTTCAGCAAAAATGTAGTCAGGCACACAATCCTCTACAAACACAGCCTTACAAATAGTTTCAAAATATTCATGCATAAAATTGAATCTTGCAGTTGGAATGTAATTTCAAACAATGGCCTGGCTAGAAAATGGGAGGCTGTAAGTTCTAGTTTCGCTATAACCAGGAAAGCCAGCTGCATGATCTTGGACCTCAGCCCAAATCTCACAGGGCAGTGGTTGTGGGGAACACAGAAAGGTGTGTTGGATAAGTTTGCTGTCTTGAGTTATTTGTAAAAATAATGAAATCGGGATACAAAAAAATAAAATAACGATATGATGGAAAGGCTAGTGAAAAAAGAATGGAAAAAGCTAAGAATAATCCATATTGGGTTGAAAGCAGGTGTATAGTAAATGTACTTCATGAGGAGGAACTTCAAAATCAAATACCAAAACAATGTCAGATGAATTTTAATATGGTTGTCAAGAAATGTGTGGTCATTTGTACAAGCAAGTATGCTGGGTGATGAGAAGGCCGACAGAAGGCTCTCCTCTAGGGCAGGCTTTGTCATACTTTTTCAAACTGCAGAAGTAGGGTAATTTTTAAAATTGCTGGAACCCTTGATCATAAGACAAACTTTTAGTAATAGAAAATTGATAGTGAAACTCAGTACATTTGAAAGTAGATTCCAATTTGTTAGTCTGTTTTCTTATCTAATAGTTTTTGCTTTTGAAAGCTGTGCAAGTTAGTGTGAAAACAACAGTAATTTTGATTGTAGATAAATGTAAAGCAAAATAGTTGTTTCTTCACAGAACATTTTACCCCTAAGGTGAGATGGGTTCCCATTCCTCTGGCCTTCCAGAAGAGCATTGACCTGATTCTGCCAAATGATATTGGTGTGTGTGTGTGTAAAATTGGCATCCAATCCTCTTAAGTAGCTGGTGGCTTGAAGGAGCTCCCTGGTTTTTTTTTAACCTTTTCACTGTTTAATTTTTAATTTTGTTTTAATTCTGTTTTAACTATTTTAATGGTCCTTTTTACATGATTGTATGTAAGGCACTCTGAGTCAGTTCAGATGAGTGATGTAGAAATTTGCTAAAACTAAAAGTTGATAAAAATAAAAAAAATAATTTATTTTTCGAGAGATGCTATCATAAAATCTAGCATCAGTTTGCTGACTGGATAAGTATTTAAATTGCTTGCATTTTCGCTGTTAAGCTGAAGCTAGTTCTTATTACTGGTATTGTTAATATTTTGCAAACTTGGAATGAGCTACCTTAAGATAACCAGTATGGATATTAGAAATTGTAATTATAACATGTAATAATATGATAGATATATTATTGTCTTATTTTACTTATTGTTCATCTAACAATATTCTATAGGATATTTTGTTTACAGTAATTCAGAGTTTGGCAAAGTTATTAATCTCTTCGTTGCAGGACACTGAGTATCTTTTTCCATAAATGAAATGAGTAGAGAAATGACTAAGATGTTGTCAGTCTGTGGCTATTTTATTATTATTATTACACAATTGTATCACAGCGGCCAGTTGTTTCGCCGGATTTGGCATTGGTTACTAGTCGGGCCCCACCCAGGGGCCTAGGACGTCGTAACGTATTTTCGTAATATGCGTGCAGATCCAAGCAGTGCGGCTTTTTGCATTTGACTGATGGTGATTTTGTCAATTTTTAACTGTTTTAAATGTAATTCCAGTGCTTTTGGAATAGCACCCAGTGTGCCAATTACCACTGGAATTACCACTGCTGGTTTGTGCCATAGTCATTGAATTTCGATTTTTAAGTCCTGGTATCTTGCGATTTTTTCATGTTGCTTCTCGGCGACCCTGCTATCACCTGGTATTGCAATGTCTATGATTGTGACCTTATTTTTCTCAACCAGTGTGATGTCTGGTGTATTATGCGCCAGTATTTTGTCGGTTTGTATACGGAAATCCCACAAGATCTTGACCATCTGATTTTCTGTGACTTTTTCAGGCTGATGTTCCCACCAGTTTGTTGCTGTTTTAATATTATAATTTTTGCACAAATTCCAATGGATCATTTGTGCTACTGAATTGTGCCGCAATTTATAATCAGTCTGCGCGATTTTTTTACAGCAGCTGAGTATGTGATCAACAGTTTCGTCAGCTTCTTTGCAAAGTCTGCATTTGGCATCATCAGAGGATTTTTCGATTTTGGCCTTAATGGCATTTGTGCGGATAGCTTGTTCTTGCGCAGCCAGGATTAGTGACTCTGTTTCTTTCTTTAATGTACCTGTTTTTAACCATAACCAAGTTTGTTCACTGTCCACTTTATCTTTTATTTTTTCCAGAAATTGACCATGCAGTGCTTTGTTCTGCCAACTCTCCATTCTTGATTTTATCACATCTTTTCTGTATTCTTGTTTTGTCTGTTGGGCCTTCAGTAGATTTTTGTTCTTTACTTCGATTAATAGATGTTCTTGACTTTCTTTTAAATAATCAGCCAGTGCATGTTTTTCCTCTTCAACTGTTTGCTTCACTTGTAATAATCCTCTGCCACCTGATTTTCGGGGCAGATATAGTCTATCAGTATCACCACGTGGATGTAAACTGTAGTGCATTGTCATTAGTTTCCTGGTTTTTCGGTCCAAAAGGTCCAAATCAGCTTGTGTCCAGTTAACTATGCCAGCTGTGTATCTTATAACTGGTATTGCCCAGGTATTTATGGCTTTGATTGTATTTCCACCATTCAATTTAGATTTCAAAATTTTCCTAACTCTGTTGGTGTACTCTCGTCTGACAATAGTTTTTACTTCTCCATGCTTGATGTTATCCAACTGCAGAATGCTTGAATGCTATTTTATTATTATTATTTATTTATTTTTAAAACTTTATATTTCAGGGGCCTTGTACACAGTTATTATGTCATCTATTTCTGCTGCCCATGTAATGTTTTAGCAAATTGTGCAATGTGTTGCTGTTTACTGAAAAAATAATGATCCGTTGGATATATTTAAGAGCTGGGAGACTGAGTTGAAGCAAAAGTAGAATACATGAACATCTTCATGTTTGCATGTGTGGAAAGACTTCTGTCTATGGAAACCAGTCTGAATATAGGAAGTTATTTATCTATATCACTCATTCTTTGTAATAATACAGGAGAACCATGTCAAACTGGGTATCTTACTACAAAAATGAGGGAGAGGAGGAAGAAGAGGAAGAACAAGAAGGAGCTGAAAACGATGGTAAGATTCATTTTGGGGGCATGCATATGCTGTTAATTTGCTGGATAGAAATGCTGCATTGAGGGAAATTTGCAACTAAATTACAATGGTATGGAGGAACCAGACATCACATGTGAAATTGATAAGCGGCAAAAGTAATATTTTGTGTCTTTTATGTGAAGTGCCTCTTTTATGTTGGTGCAGAGTCCTGAAAAACTAAAACATACACTGGTGCATACTGGATAAAACAAAAGGCTTTTCCACAGTAATGCCTATAGGAAGCATACAATGTTAATTCAAGGAATGTATGCTTTCCTAAGTATAGGTGTAGGTGTGATATCAGGATCCTTGGTAACTTTTATCTACTATAATTATTGCTCAAAAATCAGACCAAATAGAAGAGGCTGCTTTAAATTGCTTTTAAATAAAGCTAATGCTATTAGTCTTATGGTGTATTGCAACATGAGCAAACTGTTGAGCTAACCCCCCTTCCCCCCAAAGCTACATCAAATTTATGAATGTATATGTGAACGTATATCCTTTGTCAACGGATATATGAATGTATATCCTTTGTCCCAGAATACCTGTGATAGTTATAATTAAAGAATATAGAATAATTTAATTGGATAAATAGGATGATACACATTAAATACAACATTTTTTTATCTCTGCAGGAGTATATAAATATGGAGGTCGAGACACTTTGCTTTTTTTAGTGGATGGCTCAAGAAGAATGTTTGAGTCTTTCGATGGTAGCAGTTTGACACCTTTTGATATGACAATTCAGGTAAGATGACTTTTTTTCCCTACATCTGGAAATTTGAAAGATTCTGAAATGCATTGTAGTGATAGCGCTGTAACATGGGTAAGATAAAACTGGTAATATTAATCATAGCTGTTACATTCATCCAGCTTAGGTATTTCCAATAACATACATTTATATTGTTATAGTCTGTGATTATTAAATTCTTCCATGTTTCAATATATTGTTCTAATGCCAATCACCATATTGTTTAAATATACATAATAATACCGCCATTCAATTTCTAAGCTTCCCTCTTGTTATTGCTTTTATTTTATTATGTAAAAATGTGTATACTAATATTCCCCCTTTCTTTTATTTCTGTCTCTATTCTGACTTTTAATCATGTCACCCTTATATTAAAAGATGTTTTCTTTCTATCCAGCAACCGTCCCCCGCTTTGCTGCTTCGAATCCTGTTCATTTTTAATTTACCTCCCATATTTCACTCTTTACATCTATTAAGATGCAATACTTCACTATTCAATGTTTCAATACATAGTTCTAATACCAATCACAATATTATTTAAGCATACAAGATTATTCTAATCATATTCTTTACATTCATCAAGTTATATAATTCTGATAGTAAAACAGAGGTTTATATTAAGGTATGTTCTTTCATTATTTAATTCCTCAATGTTTCAATATATTATTCCAATGCCAATCACAATATTATTATTGCTTTTGTTTCATTATATAAAAGTACACATACAAACACAAATATTCCCCCATTCTCTTATTTCTACCTAACTTCTAATCATGCCACCATTCTAACATAGAAGGAAGGGAAAGAAAAAATAGACCCACTCCTCGTGTCTGATCCTGCCATGATGTCAACTGGAAGTCTCCCAGTTATAAATGTTCTAAAGATCAAGTGTTAGAAAATTTTGCCATATTTAGAAGTATTTATACTATAGAGCTGGGATGGCCAACCTATGGCATGCGTGCCATAGGTAGCACACGGAGCTATTTGTCAGGGCACGCAACGCGTTGTCCTGTTAGCTGGCCAGCGTGCATGTGTGTGCTGGCCAGCTGACTTCAGTCTTCTTTTGAGGCCATTTTTCACCCTTCCCAGGCTCCAGAAGCTTTATAGGAGCCTGGGGAGGACGAAAACAGCCCCCCCGGAGGCCCTCCGGAGGTTTCAGACACGGTTTGCTCGTAGGGTCATTTTTTGCCCTCCAGAGCCTTTAGGGAAGCCTCCAGAAGGCCGCTGAAAGCTCCGGAGGGCTAAAACCAGCCCTAGGAGCAAACTGGAAGCTCCTGAAGGCTNGGGGGGGGAGGCTGTTTTCGCCCTCCGGAGCTCTGGAGCTCAGAGAGGGTGAAAAAAGCATGCCAAAAATGGGGAGTGTTGGTCATGCGTGCATGTGCGCTGGGGTTGTGCGCATTGCATTATGGGTGTGGCATGCCCGTGCACAGCTCCCCTGCACTTTCCCGCTTTTGGCACGCGAGCCAAAAAAGGTTTGCCATCATTGCTATAGAGTATTATAACCCCACATCTGTCAAAAGGATGATTAGATGTATTTATATTATTTTCTTCCATCCCAGCTGATTTGTATTTTCTTACCAGTGCATTCAGAATGTATACAGAAACAAAATCATCAGCCATGAGAGGGACCTTGTTGGTGTTGTGTTTTATGGAACAGAGCAGCATAATAATACAATGAATCGTGAACACATATATGTTCTCCAGAATTTGAGCAATCCAGGTAAAGCGGGAACTATGTAGAATGTATCTGTGATGAAAGAATTCAGGGATACATAATGCAGGAATCTTCAAATTGCAAGTGAGGATATCTGAGAAACCATAAGAAATAGTTGCATTTTAAAAAAAGAATTGTAATAGGAATGCGGTCAAAATTCATTCTAGACTCTGCTCCCTATTTTGTCTGCAAAATCCTGCAGTGGGAGATTGATGTGATATAATTCAGAGTGTGAGAAGCTCTGTAACACATAAATTAAGTGTTGATTATTAAAAAATGGCATATTTATTATTTAACCATAATATCAATAGAAGATTTATGTTTATTCATGGGAGTGAATGGTTCATGCAAATTCATTTATTATGGTAATGCAAAGTTTAAGAATCATTAACCTAGGAAAAGGAGAGATCATCTTCACTAGGTTTTCCACCAGAGTGCCATAAGGTTTGGTTCTGGGTCCTCTATTCCTTAGCATTTTCTATTAATGATTTACATGCAAAAGTGAGAGAATGCTTATCATATGACACAAAACTGAATATAACAGTTGACAAAAATGTAATTCAAACATTCTTAATTGGTTAAAGAAGGCGGCTGATAAATTATACAATTTAATATCAAAATTAATTAAAACAATATTTAGGTAAACAATGCAAATAACTATTTGGATTACCCAGTTAGATGCTGTTTTCGCCCAAATTGCTGTTATCTACTTAAAGCCTCCTACTTAGATTATTTTACTATTATGTAAATATTACTTTCAGCCTTTTTCCTATTTTAAAATAAATGTATTTAGCAACTGAAAAAAATAATTTTGCCATGTTGAACAATATTACTTTCCTGAATTGGAAATGAATACAATGGACAAACTTGGATGATTTGCAAATACTGGTGTATCATTTCTAGAGCGATATCACTATCACCATTGTTTTGGTTTTGTGAGAACTGAGAATATTTTTTTTTCCTACCAGGGGCAAAACGGGTATTAGAGCTGGCTAGCTATCAAGGAGAACAGGGAAAAGCTCTCTTCCAAAAGTCCTTTGGCCATAGTGATGATTACTCATTAGGTGAGGCGCTCTGGGTTTGTAGTAATCTCTTCAGTGTTGTCCAATTCAAGATGAGCCACAAGAGAATTATGCTGTTCACCAATGAAGATGATCCTCATGGTCAAGATAGTACTAAAACCAAATTTGCTAGGACTAAAGCTGCTGACCTACGAGAAACAGGTTAGTATTTCAAATTATAGGTGAAGCATAATTTAGAATAAAAGTGATACCTCGTTTCAGAGAAGCAAACAACATTTCCTCAATTTGATCTCTAGAAGGAGGCATATGTGAGATACTTTAAAATGAGAGATTATCAGTGGTGCAAAGTAATTTAGGAAGACTTCTGTGGTTGAGTGAAGAATTGAATGCATGATTAAATAATCTTTGCTGATGGACTAAATTTTGGTCACCAATTTGATGAGTGTTTCTGTTTAGACAGTCCAGAAATGTGAAGTATTTCAGCATGTGCTGGGTATTGCAGGAAAAGGAGGGTAAATCAATTAACACCTATTTTCTAAATGTATGGGAATCTACTAGGGAACACCAGTTGTGTACACTAAACTTGAGAAAGATTTCAATTTTATGTGTATGCTCATCTTGCAGCTTATAGTTTCTGATGCATCTCCTGTCCTCATTTAGGTGCTTTTTCAAACAAAGCTTTTTTCCTTGTTTAATTCTTGGAGGTTTCTTTACCTAGTAAATGTACATACATATAAGTACATACCTGGAGATCACCATAAGAAATGAAGTAATGGTATCCATGTTCTCATATAGGAAACAACCTCTTTCCCCCCACAATTCTATGATTGCAGGAATTTACCTTGACTTAATGAACCTAAAGAAGCCTGGAGGATTTGATATTTCCTTATTCTACAGAGACATCATTAATACAGCAGATGATGAGGATCTAGGAATCCAGTTTGAAGAGTCTTGCAAATTGGAGGATCTTATGAAGAAAGTACGAGCAAAAGAAATAAGGAAGCGAGCTTTAAGTCGGTGAGTATCAAGAGACATCAGGGTAATCTGGGAGACTTTGGAGGAATCATGATAACATAGTTACATTAAATAGTACATAATATTAAATTGTGGAAAGTTTCTTTACTGGGTTTTCAGATGAGAAATTATAATGTGCTTTTCATCTCTTTAAAATGGAAATTAAAATATTGTACAAGGTTTCAAAGACTTAAATTTGTGTTTCTTTATTCTTTAGGCTGAATTTTTATTTGGGAAAAGATGTAACTCTTACTGTAGGCGTTTTCAACTTAGTCCAGAAGGCCGTCAAGCAGCCTCCAGTGAAACTTTACAGAGAAACTAATGAGCCACTGAAAACAAAAACACGAACCTTTAGTCGAGAGACAGGTAGTTTGCTCCTTCCAAGTGACACCAAGAGAGCTCAGGTAATGTTTTCAACTTTGTTTTCCATGTTAAAGAATTTTGAGCAGCAGTACATCACAAAGTTTATAATGGTGTAGAAGCCATTATATCCTGACTTGTGTATCTGAGCTTCCTTGCTGTGATGCTTTGTAAAGAGTAATGAATTCATTCCTTAGCATATCTTGGGCCATATTCTACCAGATACTAGAATTTGTATTATGGTACATATATGTTTTCTTCAAGCACAACTTTCATAAAACTGCTAGGAATCAGACACTTTCTGTTGCTAAGGCAATTTTACATGTAGGAAGCTAAGCCTAGTATAGATCAGATCTTACTAAATGTTTGGCAACCATTAATTTTAGTTTAACTGTAGTTTAATTGGGATTGTTTTTATGCATCACTTTCCTGGCCATATTTATGTTTGTTTGAGTATGTCTTAGTTGGAAATTGAGTAAATATGATTTATTGTTTATCATTATTTCAATATTGAGACTGTCCAATTCTAGATGACTCTGTGCAACTTACAAGTAAAAAAATAAAATACATCAAGAGGAAAAAGAAGCCAGCTAATGAAACCATTACCCCAAAATCCAAAAAACCAAGTAGCCTGTTAAAGGGGCTTTAAATAAAATCATTCTTGTATGTGTTGTACTAAGGGCTGGGATAAAATAGGGATTCTTTAGTATACTCTAGTTGCAGTATCCACTGAGACTGTGTAATGCTTCAGAAATAATTCAGAAATATGCTTTGGCGTATGCAAGAACATGAATATAGCACCTTTCTCCACTGCTTCAGAGTAGTTGCACTTCTTGTAACACTCGTTGGGCTTGTACCACTGTGTGCTCTAAAAGTCTTTTTCTGGGATGTAATCCCAATCATATAAAATTTGACTGAAGTGTCCTCACTCAATTTGATTGTCGTTGTTTTATTTGTGTATTTTATTTATCACACATCATTTGTTCTCCCACAAATGTAGATAAATTGAAAGTATTTTTAAATTGTTATGTAACAAAATATATATAACAAAATTGTTATATTCCCATGTTTATTGGAAAAAAAGATAGGATGAAAAGGTTCTCAAGAAACAGAAAATTCTGATAACTATAAATGTGTTTATTTTGTTGAAAATGAGCCCTAATCCCACTCTGTGCTTAAAGCTAGGGAGAAATGGATGATTTGGATGAATTTGTAACCTTTGGGAGTAAACTATGAGCTCAGGGGAAATATTTGCTGCTCTTCTCTTTATTTCTTACACAGTTGGTATGGAATTTGATTTTTGTGGTTCTGACTTGTTATAAGGATTCTAATAGGCTTTTGATCATTTTTGCTGCATTTTTTCAGCATTTGTTTTTTCCTGGTTTCCTTTCTTAGATTTATGGGAATCGTAAGATTGTGCTAGAGAAAGAAGAGACAGAAGAAATAAAAAGATTTGATACACCGGGCTTGTATCTGATTGGGTTTAAACCCTTGGTAATGCTAAAGCCATATCACTATATCAGGCCTGCACAGTTCATCTATCCTGATGAGTTCTTAATGAATGGTAATTATAACTGAAAAGTATACTTTACCATTTATCTTTAGGGTTACTCAGTTCCAGAACATGCTAGCAACAACAATAACAACAGCAATGGAATTCCTGAATCAAAAAGGATTAATTTCTAGGCTTCAGAAATGAATCCAGAATAAATATCATTAGCAAAACAAGTTTTTAATTTTATTTTTTCCATCATTACATGTTGTTAACTTATTTAACCAAGTCATCTTTTAAGATTAACATATAGTGTAATAAAAACTGAAGAAACTCCCATGTCAACAGTAAACATAAGCAAAACCAGTCAAATAACAGTGACGATTAAGCAACGTGCAACACATTGCTTAACAGAACAACCAATCTCAATAGCATCTGAAAAATAAAATAGGACCATCTTAATCCCAGCATTGTATCTTGTTCCACAATACTGGTATTGGATTGATGCAGTGATAGAAAAATGTTACTCCTAAGGCAGTCCAACCCTCTCCTCCCCATCTTCCAGTTGTGAACCCTTTCCTTTGGAGTGGGTGCTATCCCATCCCAGCCAGCAAAAGGGCACCAACCATCATGCAATTGCTGAACAAATAGCCATTTAGTTTTGCTAGATTCATACTGAACTGTTTTGTCCTCTCCTGATCTTATAGCCTTTAGATACTGGGTAAGGTCCTCTAGTACATTTCATTTTAGGCCCCAAGTACAGAGGTATAACTGTATCATCACCTTATTGATCATAAATTACTCAGAATCCACGTATGAGCTCCCCCACTAGATTCATGTAAATATTGAATAGAATGGAGGAGAGTGTTGAGTGCTGTGGGTCTTCATATAAAAACCATTTGACCTTTTATCTCTACAACTGTTGACTGATTCTGCCTATAGCAGATATGGTACTACTTCAGTGCAGTGTCCCACCTACAGCAGAAGGATAACATGATTGATAGTATTAAATGCAACTGAGAGATCTAACAGAATGAAAAAAAACTGCACTCCCACCATCCAGATTCTGATATAATTCATCAGAAATCTGGTTTAATATTAGTGATGAAATTCTATATGATGGAGATTTGTAAAAGAAAATGTGGGAAAAGACTGTTGTCATCCACATTTTAAAAAGGTCCTAGGTCAAATAAGAAACAAAAATAACCTTCACATGTGTTTTGGGGAATATGTGCTATAACTTCTTGATTATTTTGAAGAGTTTCAAATCATTAGAATAATTTAACCAAAATTCATTGAGCCTTTTAGCAAATTGATGTTCTTCTAAAGGAGCGGAGCATGCTGAAAAAACACCCAATTGCAAAAATTAGGCAACACATTTCTTGGGAGTTGAGAGATTATCAGATTACCCACGTGTGCTCCATAAAACTGCTTTTTTGAGAGAGAGCAGATAGTGGTTTTATGGTCAGTTTGCAATCAGTTGGGAGTCATGAGATTCCATCCTGCTCATAGCTGCTAATCTCACCTATATGGATTCTAAATTCGACTAGTTCATCTCTGGATCAGTTTGGATTTTATGTATTTATTTGGTTTACTTTAAAAATTAAGAACCTTAATTTACTTACAGGAAGTACTACTCTGTTTAATGCCTTGTTAACAAAGTGTTTGGAGAAAGGAGTAATGGCCATATGTAGATACACACCACGTCAAAACAATCCTCCCAGGTTTATAGCCCTGGTCCCACAAGAAGAAGAACTAGATGAGCAGAATGTACAGATAGTCCCTGCAGGTAATTTAAATATTATATTTTAGTTTTGTGGTTGGCTTAGAGGTGTTGCTCTATTTGATATTTTTTTTCAAAACATTATCAAAATAAGATATTTTGCTTATACCTTTACAAGCAGCATGGAACAAGTATAACTTCAGACAAGTGTATTCTTTAATAATACTAGAAAAAAGATATCTGGTATATCCAATAATAATAGGACAGTGTGGTAAAATAATTTATGTGCAGGTATTTCTCCTCCTGAATTTTATTCCTTTCCTATTTTTGTATTAACTGATAAAAAGATTGGTAAAACTTCCAGAAGAATTTGGATCTTCAAATTCCATATTTGGCATTATTTCTAATCATAACCAATGAATGTGGCTTATAAATAATTTAATAAAAATATTAAAATATGTAATAAAGTGTGTCTGTGTGTAATATCAAATTAAAGTTGTTTAAATGCTGCCTCCAACTAAATATGTTTTTTTTATTTCTTAAAAATAAAACCTAGCATGTTATGTACATTAATTGAATGTGGACATACTTAGGCCATCTCTGATTATAATAAATTGCATATTTTATTAACAAGAACTTTATTGCCTGTGAGATTTTTTTTCTGTCAACCTTCACTACCTATTTATGAGCTTATTGCTCCAACTATAGAGGGTGTTTACATATATGCCCCTTTCTGAATTATATATAATAAAAGTAATGTAAACATGAATAAATTATTTCTGCTCTGCCTTTTTAATGATTTTTCCACATTAATTATCTCTTTAAAAGCAATCACTTATTGGCACTTAAACAATTTCAGTTAATGAATCAATATTTTAATAATTTAATATTTGAAGGAGTTTAAAATAATTGAAGCATTCAGGCAGTTTGTGATAACGCCAATTTATCTTAGTAGATTATTTATCAAAATACTGCCTATTTGGAGATTATGTTGACAGAATAAATGTTAAGTTGTGCTTCCAAATGGCTTGACTTTCTGTTGTCTGTTTTTCCTTCTGCTTAGGTTTTCACCTCATTTTTCTACCTTACGCTGATGACAAACGAAATATTGACTTTACTGAGAAGATACCAGCTAATCAACAACAAGTGAACAAAATGAAGGAAATAATACAGAAGCTTCGATTCAAGTACAGGTGAAAAAAGAGATAAAAATTGATATATATATATATATAGCAAATAGTAACTGGACAAACTTTCAAACTTCAATATCTTTTTCAATGCCCTATTTTGCCTGTGTATTGTGGTAGAGGTTAACTGTCCTGTTCATGGGGTGACTTTGAACCAGTCTCCTTTATCTCATCCTATCTGCTTGCTCAACGCAGGATACAGAATGCACAAGTTACTTTGGACCGAAACTAGCTTCCCAAACAAGGGAACTTTTTAATGAATTGAATTTTAATTTTGTAATATATCTAAAATGTACATATACAACAAATAGTTTTTGCTATTACAATGTCCTACTTCTGAATAGAAAACCAAATTGCTTCTGTATAGAAGGGACAAATTTAAGCTTACAATATAATACTTAAGCATTCATCCTAGAGAAGGAAAATATGAATTCAAAATATCTGTAAGTAGGAACTACATCAATTTTGATAAAATTCTAACCTAGAAAGCATTTTGTTATCTTCATTTAGAGACATGTCTTGCTATAGATTTCAAATGCATGTACTATAGTAATTGTACATTTTTTAATATTTAAAGTAACCTTTTACTTTTCATTAAACAACATTTCTTTTGCAATATTAACTGATGTGTGCTGCTTCATAATGCAAGGAAAAACCAAATATTTCTCTTAAAGAGCACCAAAGTGGTGGTAGCAAAACATTCTGCCATTTCTCTTTTTTGATATCTATATAGCAGTTATTCAGTTTTATGACGGACACACTTGTATTCAAAACTGGATAATCTCCCACAGAAAGCTATTATGCTTGAAGAACCTTATTCTTTAGTATAATAAGTCTGTCAATGTGTGTTTGAATCTTCATTTCCAAATCATGATGACATTCTTGGCACTTTTTGCTGGATTTTGACAGAAGTGAGAGCTTTGAAAATCCAGTACTACAACAGCATTATATGAATTTGGAAGCACTGGCACTGGATTTGATGGAACCTGAAAAAGCTGAGGATCTGACAGGCAAGAATAATTTAGTATAATATAATTTGCCTTGAATATGGTCTTTGATATGTCATAAACATTTAAGAATACAGCAAGCAATTGTTATAGAACTGTATTTTTTTTACAGAAGTAGTAAAAATATTTGATAGAGTTGTACATTACTTGTAATGTTTAAATACTTACCAGACAGTTGAATGTCTACCCTGAATGTAGGGATTGTTTTTAAAATGAATAAAGTATAAAATATAAAAATAGAATTCATTGTTCAGTGAGTTTTTTTAAAAGAGCCTAGATTACAATTTCCAATCTGTACTGCGAGTTTTGAGACATAGTGGGAGCTTTATAGCAATTTTCCTTCATCAGTTGATGTATTTAAGTTAGCTAAATATTCTTACCTTCGGTTTCCTGCCTGGTATCTATATTATCTTGTCATTTTTGTTAGTTAATGAAGGCTGAGGGGGAAAAAATACCTCTATTGAATTATAATTTATTAGTTACTTTCTAATTCTTCAAAGCAGTTATTTACTGTTTTTGATATGTCATTTTACAAAGCAAAATATAATTAACATTAATTGGTACTTGTTCCTATCTAGTCAGATTTTGTAGGTCTAGTCATGGCCCCTGCTGCTTTAAAGCTCAAAAATATATTGTGCATATTAAATATCCATTATTTCTGTATTTTTAAATATCAGTCCTAAGGTCATCTTCCTTTCTTTCCAGTGCCCAAGGTTGAGCTAATGGATGTCCGACTGGGTAACCTTGCAGAAGAGTTTAAACAACTTGTTTATCCACCAGGCTATGATCCTGATGGGAAAACTATAAAACGAAAACAAGGTGAGAAGAATACAGAGAGGAGACAATTGTCCTTATATGCATATGCCCTTTTAAAGTTTGCCAACATTGTAATGTGGGGTCTAAGTATACCTTTTTCTCAGAATATAAGTAGGTTTTTGACCCAAGGTTCTTGATTTTCTGAGGAAGTTTGCAGATGCCAATGACATATTAATGCAGTCTTGGCAACCAGCCATAAATGCAAATGGGTTGTCAAATGCCCAGATTGTGATCCTGTGGGGATGCAAAATGACCACAACTTTGGGAATCGGTTGTATGTCCCTTTGTTCAATACATAGTAACTTCAATATGCTGCTGAACGAATTGTCATAAATTGATACTCTCTGTATCTTGGAGTGAGGTAATGGAAAGCCGTATCAATAGTGCTAAGAAAGCTACCTGGACATCTCTATGAAACAACAGTTGAACTTGACCTGAAGAAGACTCAAAATCTTTTAAAGAGATCAGAATGTGAAGCTTTGTAGGATTTTGTACCACAATGGATACATACATGAAACATTTCAATTATAGCAAATGCGTGGCAAATAACTACAACCATTTTTTTCTCCAGCAGGTAGTGGTACTGAACAACCAGAAAAGAAAGCAAGAATGGAACTCTCTGAAAAGGAAGTGAGGAATCATGTTGATAAAGGCACTTTGGGTAAACTTACTGTGCCAATTCTAAAGGATATATGCAGGATTTATAAGCTAACAGGTGGTGGAAAGAAGCAAGAACTTTTAGATGCGATAACTGCGCATTTCAATAAGCATTGAGTTTACACCCCCATTACAATTTCAAACATTGTAATGTTGAAAATCTCCTAAATGTTGAGATTTTGACAAGAGAAATTTTTTCAGACATTCGATAAAAGGGAGTGGGAAGGTTTTTATTTTTGTGAAATTAATAGAAAAAGGTCCATTCCATTTCCACTTCTAGTTCTAGATTTGACTGTATAACTTTCACCTGTCCTTAATAAATGAGCTTGGTTTGGCTGCATCAGCTTTTTCATTTCACATATAAAATATTGCACAAACTACTGTAGTATTATTTAGAAAAATAGTTTATTTTTGGAAGAATAATACTGTATAAATTTGGTTTGTACACATGCCTCAAACATAGCAAATGTGCCCTGGCAATCTTTTTTTCCCCAACCGTGTTACTTCCCAGTCCATGATAGAAACAAGTTAGTCATTCAGATTTTATAGAGCTTTTTCCTCTCCAGGAGGCACCCTGTATTAAAAAAAAAAACATTTACAGCTGAATGCAATTTTCCTATTTAGTCATGGACAATGACCCAAAGGGAGTCCACAATGACCCACAGGTCAGCATTCTTTACTAGGCTGGTGTTCTCTCTTGAGAATTAGAACATTCTTAGCTGCCATTTTTCTTCCATTTGATGGAACAGCTAATTGGCAGCTAGATGAGTTGTACTGTAAAGTGGGAAAGTAGGATTTTGGGGGAAAAGAGAAACCTTACCGTACTTTAGGACAAAGCTGATCCAGTTGACAGTAGATTGTTCACTGAACTGGTTGAAAAAGTGCTATCCATGTGCAGAACAGTTGGAATCCTGCAGAAAAGTATGGCTTTAAAGGGCCTTTTTAAAAAAATAAACTATGTTCTATGGCTGTTCTATTTCAAGTGACTGAAGTTTTACTAAGTTTACTTCCAATGTAGCTGGGACAATCTTGTGAAGAAAAAGGTTTTCTGTATCTGTTACCATTTAGCCTCAGTAGGATTTTTGCAGCCTAATAGCCTAGGTATGGTGGCACAGGCTGGGATTTGATAATCTGGTAGTCAGCTGAGTTTGCTTTACTGTGGTTTGGCAGCAATACTGAACATATGGCTGAACCTAGCTAGATATTAAAATATGGAAAGCTCTGACTCAAATCAGTCTTCAATAATGAAAACTCACTAGCTAACTTTTGACTTTGGATCAGTCAGACATTTTCAGTCCATTACCTCAATTATTACTATGGGGTAAATTATTATGAGAAAAAGGATTCTTATACATGTCACCTTTACTTCCTGGAACAAATTTGTGACACACACCTTACAAATTAATTATAAAAATAAAATGCAGGAAATACATTTTATTAACAACACCCAGTCAACCTATTGAATACGACAGGCATTCTTGCATAGTTGAGCACATTTAACGTGCAACCCACATACTACTAAAACTTCTATGTATGTAATCTTCATTTGGGCAAAATGCTGCATCAAAAAGCAACAACTTTGGAATCAGCATACCTCAAAATGGGTTAATTTACAGAATACACCCAAATCTGGCATCTATGATTCCTGTAAGAATGAAATTTGGTAAAGTTATAGATTCTTCAGTGCTGCTGCACTGCTACAGACAGGTCAGTTTTCAAAAGGTAATAAGAAAGCTGGCAGGCAAGCTTACAAGTTTGGGGAGGGAAAGAGGTTTTTTCCCCTAATGCTCCTGATCAGCTTCCCACAAGGAAACTCATTAGTGAAGCTGAAGTTTTCCTCACCTGAAGTCATTCTGGTCTCATTAATTTTTTGCTGTCCTTTTTTATTGTTTGTTTATGTAGGGAAATATCTGAAATGATGACTTATCTGGTGATGAGTTGCCTTCTTCCTTTGTATAATACCATTTATGCATCTGAAAACTTTATATCATACAAAATGTTTGCAATGTTCTTTTTAACTGGAAAATATAAATGTTGAAAGGTTTTGCTAATAAAACAGTGCCAACTGTTTGCTGTTACCTCATTTTTGTGCAGTTGCAGTGGTAAACATCCCAATACATCTAACTTTCTAGAAAGCAGTATTGATTAAGTAAAATTTGGAAGACTACGTCTATCAGAATTAGTGCTGCACGTCAGTTTCAGAGAAGACACTGGGCATGGTACTTATTTATTGTAATTTATTTCTGGGGAAAAAAGCCTCTGGCTACAGCAACAAAAGAAAATTCTTACATTTCTGTCCTATCAAACTGCATCAGATTTGGGAGCAAACTTCAATTTCTTTCTAGGGCATCTCCATAAACCAAATAACCTTCAATAGGTTATTGGTTATTGAATAGAATATTATATGTTTTGCATTATTGTATTAAGCACTAACTTATACACAAACTCATTTTTAAATGAAGATATTTATTATCAAAGAATTAGTTTAAATCTCATTGAAGAATTTTTGCACCAGGTAGATTTAAAGCAGGGATACACAATCTAATACACTGTCAGGTAGAGGTGAACAATGTGCCGTCCCCATTTGGCCCTCAAGCATCCTGAGGTCACGCCACTGAAATACAACTGGTAAACTTGCTGAATTCTGACAGCAAGCTCCACCCATTTCCTGAATATTAGGGTGTTTTTAGGATAGAATTTCAGGAAAGCCTCCAATTCCCACCCTGAAAATCCATAAAAAAGCAAGCTGAAAACATTTGACCATGCAGCAGTATTTCTACTCCTTAAAATCAGAAAGCTGCTCACCAACTTCAGCAATCTGAGATTAGGGTTATGGTTAGCATCATTACTGTCTAGTAACTGCAAATTATTAATTATTGATTTAAAAGAACAAGCAATCTCCAATTAAAAGCCTAAACAACCTATGACTGAAGATAATAGATTCAAAAACCTAATAAACTTTTATTAATCATTTATATGGCCATCCATCTTATAAGAGCATGACTTACATTGTAAAACAATAGCTGTTAAACAAAATATTCATATAAAGTCTTGGTTTTTGGAGTTACTTCTATCGGAGTTAGACCAATAGTCTTTCAATAGATTGTTGGACAGAATTAATTTGAGGTTTGAGTTGTGAGCCTTCTTTGATAGTAATGGAACAGGCAATAACGGGCCGAGAAACACCACATGCCCTTCCTAAGGCTTGCTTGGAACGCACAAACACATAGGGCACATTCTTGTCTTCACAAAGTAGTGGAAGATGAAGGATAATTTCAAGAGGTTCAGCATCTGCAGCCATCACAATGAATTCCGCAATTCCTCTATTCAAAGTTTTAGTGGCTGTGGAAAAAGAAATCAATGTAATTACTACCAGGCATTCATTAAATTCAAGAGCTAGCTTCTTTTGCTGGTGCTGCAAGAGGATAAAGATCACCTTGCTACCTGCAATAGTATTCTATATCCTTCATCAAACGCTTTTGCTTCAAGATTTGACTTCATCTTAATCAAATATATTTTCAACTACATTTTCACATTGTGGGATTTGTTTGCTGGACACTAAAGTGGTTATAACACTGAAGAAATAGCTTACCATTTGCAAATCAATGAATTGAGTATCTGGCTGCATCTTTCTGAGGGATTCAATATATGAATACAAATTCTTACCGTATTTTTCGGAGTATAAGACGCAGCAAGGTTTGAAGAAGAAAATACAAAGTTTTTGCACTCTAACCCTCATGAAAACAGGCCTGGTTCCCCCCCCCCCAAAAGGCATGAATAGCCTTTAGGGAGCTTGCAGAGTGCTGGGGGGGGGGGGAGCAAAAAATGGCCCGTCTTTTGCTCATTTCTGCCCTCCCCAGCCCCCAGGAGCGCTCTAAAAACTTCCTAGAGGCTATCCATGGCCATTTTGGTGAAGGGGCGGAGTTTCAAGAGGCAAAAAATGCTGTATTCAGTGTATAAGACGCACCCAGATTTTCAGCCTTGAGGTAAAAAGGTGTGTCTTATACTCAGAAAAATACGGTAGATGCATGGCAAGTTAAATGCCCTTTGGGAATGAACCTACCTTAGGAAAGGGCATAATACAAATCCATATATTATGCAGCATTCCAAATATTTCCCATGTGAGGACTTCTTTAACAATGAAAGTAAACACAGATATTATTGTAAAAGACCTTTCTGTCTTCAAGTTTTATTTATTCATTTTATTTTTACTTAATTTTCAGTGTGTCTGTCTGATGTCAATTATTTTTGTTCAGCACATCTGAGGAAATACCAGTAATAAGTTACCACTAAGAAGGATAATCAATATGTTTAAGGTTATATTTAGTTAAGGGTCAGACTAACTTCCTGTAACCATCTTCTCAAACTGCCTCTGGTAATATCTGGTAGAGCTGTCCCTCTTCTATTTCTCTTCTGCTTACTAAATGCAATACATTATCTAATCCATGTGTGTCAAATTTGATCACATGATGTATCATGATGTTTTTAGCCCTTGCGAAGCTGGGGTGGGCATGGCCTGAGTATGACACATCCGGCCCATGGGCCATAAGTTTGACAGGTCTGATCTAATCCATTATCAACTTTTGTTTGGTTTAGCTGTTAAATTCTTGCAGCTTGCTGAATTCTTATGACTATCTTCAAACATTGAATTCTGAATTAAGTTTCTCTTGCCCTTGAGCAAATTATTTAAAATGTTTTAATTACTTTGGGCAAAGCATTTGAAAGGAGACAATATTCCCCCTCCCCAACATCCATATGATAAGAACATTTTGATAAAAAGGTTCAATCAGATTTCACCTTCATTGGCTCCTTTGCGTAACTGTTTGTAGTTACATGACTGCTGTACAAGATCCAATAGTGTCTTGGTGAGCAGAGCATCAGCAAGAGGGTAAGCTTTTGGATTTACTTCTGCCTCAGTCTGTAGAAAAATATCAGAAATTGAGTTACAGAAAACAGTATTTCTTCCTCAACAGCCTGCTATCTATTTTAAGGAACATAACTGTACTGGTGCCAGGTGAAGTAATTATCTTTCCATTACCAGAACTGTTGTATTTGCTATTTCTCTTTCATTAGCAATCCAAGTCACCCTGAAAATTCCATTTTTTTCCACTATAACATATTCAAGGAGCAAATGGACACAACTGTAAGATATCCTGAAAATAGTCACTCATGCTTGTCATCTCTAGATTTAGACTGCTATCATTCACTGAACACAGAATGCCCTTGAAGATCTCCCCAAACTTCAGCTTGTCAGAATGATATTGGTCAGTGGCCAGTCATGAATATCATCTTACACCTTATTATAGAAGATGCACTTATTACTAAATGTTTCCAAATGCAATACAAAGTGACAGTTATGACTTACAAAGTTGTACAGCTTTGGGCCTTAGGGATCATCTCCCAGCAGTTTCTTTCTTCTGATATTATCAGAATCACTTGGGAGGATCTGCTAAGAGTCTCCCACTGCATCCCATCCCCTAGGAGAGAGCTCAGCAGCAGGAATTTTCCATTACAGCTCCTCACTTCTTGAGAAAGGAACCCCCCCCCCCAATCCTCATGGTTTTCCAAAAGCAAGTGATGACACAGCTGTTTCAGATGTTCAAGGATTAATTGTACCAGAGAGGCATCTTATTTAATAAGTTTAATATATTATTTCAACAAAAACTTAAATCAAGCCTTAATTGGACTGCCATTTTAATATATTGACTTGCGTTTATATTTAAATTCTGCAAGTTCCCTACAGTCCTTTTTATTTCAAGCAGTAGACAAATCTCATAAACATGAATACATACTACCAAAATGTACTACCGGTAGCTCCCATTCTTGAGTACGAGTTTGATCTAGTATCTTAAGATAGACAAAAACAAAATGGTTGTTCTGGAGTGCAAAGGGCTGAATTTAAATATTTACATAACCACGAGGGAAACCGATTTCTCTGAGTCCCGTTACAAATACTAGGGCATTTCCAGAGAAAGCTGTTAGGAGAACAAAATAGGCCACCCTATTATGCATTTCATATTCAATAGTACAAGGACCGGATAAAAATAAAAGAAATCCATCGCAAAAGCAGGGATACTTGTGGCATGACATTTAACATTCCAACCTCAACATGCTAGCAAAAACAGAAATTATAAAAGCAACGGAGGAAGGCGCCGGGTGCTGCTGCACGTAAGGCGTCTTGCTCAGCACCTGATTTCACTGGTGCCTGTATGGAAACCGAGGCTGAACGCGGCAGGATAAGCGTCCTCCACGTGGTCTCCTAGGCTCGAGCTCTCCACCACGCTGCCGAAGCACTATTCGTTTCGGCGTTTTCCCCGACAAAGTAGCGCCATCGCTTTCTGCAACGTCTGGATGTGGCCCACTCACCATTTGTGCTAAGTAGTAGTTTCAGCCGGAGATTCTGCTCTGGATCCCCTCGGCCCGAAAGCTTCACGGAGGAAAAACGTAAACTAATGCGCATCTACATAAGATAGAGGCGCTCCCGGAAGTGACGCTAGAAAGGAGCGGCCCTCCCGCAAGAAATACGATGCAGACCTCGAAGATTTCTCGGCTCCAGCAAGTGCGACCCCTATCTTTGACTCGTTATTACAGAAAACTTGGGTTGAGAAGGAGCTTCGATCTAAAATAGTGATCGTATTCAGATTCTGTCACGGTGACGTTTACTGAACTTAATGGGCCGTGTTTCCACGTTCACTCATTAGCAATTGTCATTTATACACAATTATTAGTTACATTTACAAGTACATGATTTGATTAATAGCGCATCTAAGTTTCAGCAGCAATAAAAATATTATGCTTTTTTAAAAAAATGGGTTAAAAGTGACAGCTTAGCAGTTCTTTCCTGCTGGGGGAGGCTGGGCTTAAAAAGAAACTCTGGACGAATAGAGGCTAGATATAAATCCATTCATCAAAATTTTCTGTATATGACAAACTGAGAAATCCATGACATATTCTGATAGCAATTGTAATTTTTTTAAAGCTCTCAGTTCTTTGCAACTGGCAGAAATTAAACAGGAACAACAATCTACTGGGAATAACTCATTAAATACTTGAAGCAATTAAAAAGCATA